AGGTTGGAAAAAATCAAATTACTAGAATAGTCGGTCTAGAAAATTTAACTAATTTAACAATATTGAATTGTACTGATAATGAAATAGCCGAGTTAAATGTTAGTAAAAACACTAAATTAGAAGTTTTGAGGGTTCATGATAATCAAAATATTAAACTTATTGGTTTAGAAAATCTTCCCAATTTAGAAATGTTTTCTTGTAGCCAAAATCCACTTGCTATTATAGAAATTGTTAAAGAATAACAACGAGACGTTAGCAACTCTCGCAACTGAAAAATTGTCGCCGGTTTTCTTGCACTAATTTTGGTTTTTGTAATTAGTGGGTGGTTAATTGACCGGCGAAAAAGGAACAAAAAAAAAAAAACCAGTTTAGGTTAAACTTTGCTTGCAAAAAAAAAAAAAAAAAAAAAAAAGAAAATTAATTAATAGTGGAAACTTGCGACGAAGAATCCGCACACTAAAAACCCATGCTACTAGGATTTTTGAATTACTTTATCCTTTAATTGCGCTATTACTATATTATGCAAAAAAAATGTCAGTTCTTTATTCAAAAAACTTCCTTGAATACTAAAAACTAGACTAAATTAGGCAGGCATCAGTTTCGTATTTTGTAATAACTGGACTAAATTATTTTCCGCTTCGTAGTCAATTAGTTTTTGGCATATTTCTTCTAAGTCTCCTTCGACGATATGATTTAACTTTTTCCATGTGCAATTAAGACGGTGGTCGGTTACTCGATTTTGCGGTCAGTTATAAGTGCGGATTTTTTCCGCTCGTTCGGCAGTGCCAATCATAGATGAACGCAGATTTCCTACCTGCTTGGCTTGTTCGGAACGGAGTTTTTCTAATAAACGACTTTTTAAAACAAACAAGGCTCTTTTTTTGTTGTCATGTTGGCTGCGACCATCTTGCGAAGTAGCCGTAATGGTTTCATTTTTTCCATTTATTAGACAAGTATAAGTTAACTTCACGGCAGAATCGGTAGTATTAACGTGCTGCCCGCCGGCCCCACTCGAACGATAAGTTTCGGTTTTTAAATTTTGGGGATGAATATTTACTGAAATATCAGTGGCTTCGGGTAAAATCACCACGCTGGCTGTCGAGGTGTGCACGCGACCTTTGCTTTCGGTAACGGGAACTCGCTGCACACGGTGCACCCCCGCTTCATTTTTTAGCCAAGCGAAAACTTCGGGTCCTTTCACCAAAAAAGCTACGAAATCAAAATTCCCTGCCACGTCTACTTTAGTTTCCACCATTTCCACCTTCCAATTCATTTTTTCGGCCAACTTATAATACATTCGGTAAAGGTCACGAACGAATAATCCAGCCTCAGTCCCCCCCGTCCCCGGTCGAATTTCTACTAAAACATTTTGTCCGGTGCCTTCCTTGCTGATTAACTTTTCTTTAACTTGATTAATTAAACCTGCTTTTTTTTTTTCTAATTCCGCAATTTCGGCTCACAGAAGACTTTTTTCTTCGTAACTAATTGCTTGGTTAAGTAGTTCTTGGTATTCTTTAGCAATAGCCTTTGCCTCTTCGTATTCCTTTTTCCGAGCGAGTAAAAAAGTTATTTTTTCATTATTTAATTGGCGGTGTGCACAAATAGTGGCAATTTCCGTCAGATAGTCGATAATTTTGCTACTCATATTCCAAAGAATTTTTTTAGTAGTTAGCAATAGCCTTGCTTTCTAGTCCCATTTTTTTTAATTTTCGCAGCAAAAATCCTATTACTCCCAAACTACTGACAAATCCTACTGCTAAGCAACCGATAACGATATTTTTCCCACTTAATAATCCTTCTTGGGGTCTATTTTGTTCGGCTTCCCAAGCATTTTTGTATTTTTCAACTTCTTCTGTTACTAGTTCATCGTTACTTCCGAGAACACCCGGCAAGGCATCTAATCCACTTTTTAAATTATTAAATTTGTTGTTTAGTTCGTTAAGTTGGCTGGTTACAGTTTCGCAACTATCTTTATTTATCCAATTAACTACTTTGGTAGCTCAATCTTTGTCTTGGTAAATGTTAATATGACAATCGTGTTTTAATTTATCGTGGACTTGCTTCAAAACAGAACCACGGCGGATAAACTCCTTCCATATAAATGCTTCTTGATTCTCACCATGCACTCTTGGGTCATATTTCGGAAAGTTGCTGTGGTGCAAACCAAGTTCTCCAAATACTTCTCTCGCGGCTCTTACATATTTCAACTCGTCTTCTTCTACTCCACACTCTTTCCCTACGCTGTAATATTCTAACAAATCTTCAAAGTTGGGGTTGTCTGCCCATGCTAGTTTGTGTTCATAGCCAACAATTATCGTTCCCCTTTCACCCCCCTCTTGGCGGCTTTTTCAACCACCTTTTAAATCGGTAAGGGTCGCAAAAATATCTTGCTCTAATTTCACATTCTCACTTTGGGTTGACGAGCCAGAATTCCGGGTTGTTGCTTCTATGATGTTTTTTTGAGCTTCAATTGTAGCATTGGCACTTGCTAAACGTGATTGTAAACTTTCAATTTCTTTTTTTAGGTCTCCCACTTGTTGGTTTCGTTCACCGAGAGTTTTTTT